CCGCGAGATGATAGCAACCGATGGTTAGAGACCCTGAATGACATGGCTCAAAATCGTTTGCAATGACGCATGTGCATACACTCTTTGTGTTCTCCCAAATTCTAATCCCTGAATCCTACTTGTCTCTTTTTTCTCTTTCCAAATTTATTTCACTGGATTGTACTCTTTAAATAACATCTCCAAACCCTAATCTTCCCGATTACTGCTTATACTCTTATTACCTCTACCACTACGGGATTTGAATCGACAACTGCATCTCTGTGCTAAAGTGGTGTAGCAACTCGAACTGATGTACGTACGTACGAAGTTCTACGTTGTTCCTGACTGACTGACTGCCTTGATATAGCGCACAAATCCCAAAATTCAGCAAAGAATATCAATAAGGTATTCTGTATTGCGTTATGACACAACAAATACAGATATATTTCATTCTACTGACTACTTTTATAAATTACATATGGAAAGATGGAGAGTTATGAAAAATGATACAATTAATAACGCTAGCCAAAAATTAAACTATCATTCAATGTTCTGTAAACAGTGCTAGTTTTCTTTTTTTTGTTGTTGTCAAAACTACACTTTCAGTCTAATTTCCTCATCTCTATGCATTGTCCCTCATCAAGAAATACATTTTCCTCCTCTCCTAAAATTAATTTCCAAGATAAAGTTTTACTATTTAAATAAAAATACCCAATACTTGATTTTATATCGAATGTAACCGTAGGTGGTGAGTGTGTTAGTACTTTCAATTATCTCTATAGTAAATATGTATTAAAGAAACTAATAGAAACAAGAATAATATACACAATAACATACACACATAGATAAGATATTTATTGCTATGAGGTATTTAAAGAAGAAGAAAAGAAAAAAGCAAGAACAAGAACCCATCATTTCCTGTCATTTGGACATTTTGATAATCCTATCAAAATCAATTCAAATATTATTGAATAAAACAATAACATTGTTTAAATACATTTTCGAATTGGTTCATTTGTGAACAATCAATGTTTGTAGGTTAGTTCGTTTAAAATAGTGAAAAATTTTTTTATCTCCCCCCCCGAGTTTTTCATGGTTTTTTCTTTGTTGTTGATAAGTTATTTGTCAAAACTATTTGTTTAGTCTATGGTTAAAACATTAAAATTTTCTATGATTTTAACTGTCATTCTTCTCATTTTATAAACGTTTATGAAGTTTAATATTTGAATTCATGAATCAATTAAAAACTAGACCATCTTGAAAAACCTGGAATTACTGGATGATTGTTTCATTCTAGTAGGGGACTTCTCGAATTCAGGAATTTCGACCTCGCACGCGAACTCTTAAACTATAGATCATTGAGTCAGCATTCAACATTGTTAATTTATAAGTTTAATTAATCCACGAAATTGAGCTACAGTTCATCATTCTCTTCAATGAGTTACTATTTCACAGCAGACCCATACTAGGACGAAACGGCCGTCCAATGTTTCCACGTTTTTTATGGTGGTCTAGCATTAATTGACTCATGAATTCAACTATTAAATTACTATTGTGGTGAACAGAACACAAGTGGGGACAATGGAATTATGTTCAGCACAAAATTACAGTTACTTGGTAAAATAGAAAAACCATACTATAATACTTAATTTGCAAAATGTTCAACAAATGTCTAAAACTTCGTTGTTCTTGCATTTCCATACTAATTGCTTTCTATTGCCGCTCTTCCTTTTTTGATCCCCCCATCTTCTGCTACCAGACATTACATTCCTGACTCGCGTCATATACTACTTATATCAATATAAGTAACACGCACCACACTATAATTTCCACAAAAATCTTTTCCGATAATTTATATGAATTTTAACTAAAATAAACTAATACAAGCCGATTCCAAGCTCATAGTAGAATAATTATACACATTTCTATTATATATTTGCATTCCATTAAGATTTAGTAATATTAAAGGAGAAACTTACTATTTATGGTATATTTATTGTCTAATAAGATATAATATATTATTATGAGTCTTATATTACCAGCTAACATATTCTGTTAACAAAGTAAACGGTTTCATCACTGAGTAGCCACCAATTTCATATTTGCTTAGTCTTTCAGTGTCGGACCGATAGAAATTTTTTGATGGCTGCTTGATAGTCAATCAATTGTAAATATCTTATCGTTCCCATAAGAAACCAACCGCCGATCAATTAGCTTATTGATCATGCTTAATAATATAATGTAAAGTGATGTGTATTTGAATCTCACATGGAGCATCAGTTTTCCCAGGATTATAGGCAACTCTTTATTGAGAAATCCGACAGGTAAGAAGCTTAGGTCGAGAAGGTTCTTATGATGACTACTACCAGATACCTAACACCTCAGAATATTTATCCATTTGGAAGGGAGTTTTAGTCATAGTATGACATTCATCCGTGGCAGTCATAGGTTGTAGTGTAATTGTCAAGCTATCTAACCAGAATTTCAATCTCTATTAGGAAAATACTGAATTTGGAAACAAGGATAAAAAATTCATCATTTTTATCACCGCACTTGAACAAGTATAGATATAATTCTATTGGTAAAATTTCATAATCAGATATAAAGGGAATTTCTATAGACTTAGTACTTAGGTCAATATGAAATCAGTAGAAAGATTTATACATGTTCACCACGTCAAACAATGAGAATATCATTAATCTATGACATGTTTAGAAGTCAGTCTACCATAAAGGTTACCTGGAATGAAAGTATATATAAAATTTTAAAAAATGTCACTGGCGTCAACCAACTAATCACGAGGCAATCCAAATGAAATGATTTAAATTTTCAAAACAAAAAAAAATATTTTTTCGATGTTCATTACTATTTAAAGTAAACATCGAAGTCATTTTACGAAAGCAATACATAGAAAGACGATATATATATAAACCTCAACGCTAAATTACCCAATACAAAAAATAATATAATATCACATAGGCTATATTATTTAAATCCATCTTCTCAAGTGTGAGAATTAATGGAATAATAGATTGTTTTAATTTGTTATAACTTGTGGCTTTGTTTCCTATTAAATTGTAACGTAATGACATCGCCAATTAGAAAACAATGATTTATCGACCGGACCAATGACACATAAACCCGTACAAGTAGTATAGAATCCTTATCGGTCCTTCTTCCTGCCTAGCCCAGACTGTTGATTCCAGAACACCAATCTCAGCCTCCGTGATATGAATCATGTATTTCAAACATACTGGGTTCATATACAAATCAAACATACTACATCGTACGCAAAATAGAAAATAACATTTGTATAAGATTTAATCAAAAGTGGCTATGAATGTGAGAGATGGTAGTTGATAGACTGAGCATAACTCAACAACTGTAAATTGTATTGTCGTGTGTACTACTTATATCTACATAAGTAGTAAATAACTCTGGTCTGGAATAGAATGTATGACAGCAGAAGGTTAAGGAGCCCAAAGAAAAGAGAATGAGAACAGAGAAAAATTATCATGGAAATGCAAAAACATTAAAGTCTAAGACGATTGACTGATATTTGCAAAAGGAACAGTCAAGTTTAAGACAATTGATTGACATTTTTTAAATTAAGTATTTATTGTATGGTTCCCAGATTTTACTACGATGCTCTGTAATGGATGCCGACAGTTACCATTCATTATTCTCGTCGGAATATATCACATTTTAAAATTATGATTTAAACTACTATTAATCCAAAATTAATGTTTAACTTCTCAAAATAATAAGAGTTCTCTCTTCGGCGAATTCATTATCAAAGTTGTACAATCGCAAATATATAAAACTATTTCTCAGGATGACAATAAATGCAATAATACTGATAATAAACTTCTTTTAGATATGATGACAGTGAGGTAAAATAAACAAAGGTACCTGCTCATGTAGAGCCAGTTATATAGGTCGTTTGATGCGTACTTTATCCAAAAGAATCCGACGTGGCTAAGAAGATGAGGAAACTGCTCAATATGAAGTTCAATAATCGAAAACATTGTGAACACAGGCCAGTTAATCAAGACAGACCCTGCGTTCAAAGTCATCTACAAGGTGGGTAGAAGTTTTCCAAAACTATTTTATTGCATCTTCTTTGCATTGCCAAAGCAATAGCCATACATCTGGGAAAACTAGAATTGTGTATCCATAAACGAGATTGATACAACCTCTTCTTCTACCATGGACTTAATGTCTTATAATTTTTTTTCTAACCTTTCTCCCTTTACAGTCATTTGCTTCCCCTTCTGTCTTCTCCCTAAACTTTTTATACCCAACTGGTTTATTTCTTTTTTTACGATCCTCCTGATTACATTTTATCTCAATTTCAACATTTTATCTTATCATACTGAGCTATCCTTTCCCAATGATAATTTCCCTATCAATCTTCATGGTGAATATTTAAACCCTTAACAATCAAACGAATATTAGTTTCCCTGTTTAAAAAATGTTTTTTTAATACCTTTGTTTATTCTTCCTCACTGTCACCATGTCTAACAGAAGTTTATTATCAACATTATTGCCAATAACAGACTGATCAATTGCAGTCTTAAACCTCAATGGGAAGATACAAGCCAAACAATACCAAGTGAATTTAAATTCACCACATTGCACAAGCAAGTGGCTATCAGAACTCAGTAGCTGAGTGGATAACGTGATGGCGTTTAAAGCGAATGGTACTGGATTCGAGTCCCAGGGTGAGCATCAACTCTGAGATGCAGGTACATCCAACTGACGAGTTCTGAATAGAACGAAACACACGTCCTGGATTCCTTTGCTAGCCACTACCCATCATTGCTTAAGAAAAATTATTGTAATTGTTATCATCCTGAAAAAAGATAGGTGCATATATTTGCGATTGTACAGCATTGAAAATGAATTCACCGAAAAGAGAACTCTTCGTTGAACTTATCGTTCTTATTTAATGTCTTAATGGGTATATTTCGATTTACTGAATATCAAATAATTAAATTCAATATAAAAAAATTTCTTACCAGATAGATGATTCATGTTACCATCAGATTGTTTCATTATTTCTGAATTGTTACCAATTGTCGATACTTTGGATTGATCTAAATTAATTTGAGTATTTCTTGTTGTTAAAGTAAACAAAGTATCATTATTAGATTGATCAATATTAAGGTGTTCATTATCAAATTTTAATTGAACAACTTGAATTGTTCCATTATACTTTCTCATCTCCATTTGTTTTATTTTATTTATAGAATTAGATTGAAATGTTGTTGTTGTTGTTGCTGCTGCTGGTGTTGCTGTTGCTGTGCTGGTGTTACTGTTGCTGTTGTTGTTGCTGTTGTTGTCATCATGGATAATTTATTAATTTTATTATTTAAATGAATATATCTAGTTTGATTTCTAATTGATTGATTAATTTGTAATGGTTTAGCAATATGAATTGTTTTTATATCAGGAGTTAAAATAGTTGATATAATTTTAGATTCAATAGGAGTTTGACAAAATTCACCATGCCAATTTAATGTACATTCACATATTGCACTAATACTTAATAAAATTATAAGAGAAATAATTAAAAGAAAAGATTATTTTTTGATAATGATTCTAAATATTTATTGAATTAGATGAACTGAGATAAATGTTAAAAAAAAATTATGAAGGGATTGCCTAGGATAGAAATGAATGGAGAGTACTAATGGGTGGCCTATAATACTTCACGAGGAGTAACAGGTAGTAGTAAGTAGTGTAAGTAAGTAAGTAAGTAAGTAAGTAAGTAAGTAAGTAATTAATATCTTTCTAGGGAAAGATGGATAGTGGGTGGTAGTTCAAGTCTCACAGTGAACATTAACTCTGAGGTGCAGGTACATCCGGATGACGAGTCCCAAATAGGACGAAATGCGCGTCCTGGATTCTACTGTTAGATACTATCCATCTTTGTTTATAATGCTTGTGAATTAAGGTAGTATCGAGGGAATATGCATAGAATGCACATATGCCAATAAGAGACTGATCAATTGCAGTCTTAAACATCAGTGGTAAGATTCAAGTAAAACAATACCAAGTGAATATTATTATCTTTGTTTACGAGTGTCCAACATTTTTTTTACGTACAACTATTTTGAAGGTTAAGAATTAAGTCGAATGAGTGGATTTTAATTTTTGTAAATGATGAATAACCTATCTGTTTTACAATTAGTTATGTTTAAAGTGACTTATGTTATATCCGTAGAAGACTAAATGAATAATGACTTCCAGGCGTTTGATTTTTAATTGATGTACGTACAATCGAAGGTGAAGCGATCGTTTATTTTGTTCAATGTAGTGTTTTTTGCAGTTGGAACAATTTATTTTGTAAATGATGTTCGGTTTTTCTTCTCTTGTTATTTCCTTCATTAGTTTGTATTGGATTGATTGGAGTGATTTTTTGTTTGTGTTCTACACCTATTCTAAAAAGCTTCAATAATCTAGTTGTACTTTCCAGCCTTTCTTATATATGGTAGTGTTATATCCCGATGAGAATAATGAAAGGTAACGGTTGGGATCTATTTGTGGGCTAATATTATACGCATACTCTTACTGTATAACTATTGCGTAATTAGATTATGTATATTCATATTCCTCTTATTATTAGCTTTATTTTAACCTATAGATTATTATTATAAGATGTTCAGTCTATTAATCACAGTCTCCCACATTCACAAACGCTGTTTTTAATTTTGTGGTGCGATGTGGTCTGTTTGGTTTGTATATAAACCCAGTATGTTTGAAATACATGATTAATATCACGGACGCTGAGATTTATCTTTTGAACTTAATGGGCTAGCGGGAAAAGGACCAATCGTGACTCCGAGCTGTTCGTTCAGACGCATGCATCATTCGTTGGTCATATAAGTCTATATGTCTAAATTTGCCAATCGTATTCGCGGTGATCTTATAAGCTAAGAACATAACAATTGGCGACAGGGGGTTGGAAAAAAACAAGGATATAACAGGTAGGATGATTCATTTGTTAGTTTCTGTACTTCGTGTTGTTTCTACTGACGCATTGGATTGGTATATTTTTGATGAGTCCATTGAGTATCCCTTCTTTGAAGGATGGTCTTTAGATATTTTTTATCAGTTTTCCGCGTTGCGTGTTGCTGTGTGTTCTTGCCCCGTGAATAAAGCTTGTACGCAGTTCATTTTCTTAGTTCCTAGGTTGTTGCTACCGTAGTTGAGAACTCGATCTGTGTAGGTCGACTTCCGATATACTTGAGCTTCCAGTTTTCCTGTGTTGGTTCTGGTGATTATTACATCCAAAAATTACAGTTTTTTGTTTGAATCATTTTCCACTATGAATTTTATGTCACCGAAGTCGTTGTTGATTCAGATCAACGGGAGATATAATAAAAATAAAGAAGTAAATAATGACAAGTTAGTGGTCGACAATAGCCAATCAAAATGGAGGTACACTGGACAATATTTGAGTCATATGTAGAGAAATTCGAACACATTACTTCTACCTGAAGTTTTTGCTGATGATTTCGTTTAAAAGAACGATGAAAGCTCAACGACCAAACTATCCAGCTCCGAAAACAAAACTCCACCTGAATGGTGACTTCTTGCAGTTACTTATGAATCATTATTATTATATATATTTTTGTTGTACAGTTATTAAGTGATTAAACTATATATATTCTTGAATCTTATTAATTGATTTGACTCTTAATTCGCCTCTGTATTCGCTCTCTCGCGTTAGCTTTTCTGTACGAATTCGCTTGGTTTACTTGTGGCTTATTGGTCTGTATAGTCGGTGCTTCATCTTTCTTTCTGAATTCATACATCATTCAGATTTATTTAATAACGATTAACAATCCAACTGATATGCGAAGCCTAAGTTACTATTTCGAAGCTAATCCATTAAACCTTCGTTAATAGTTGGCTTCTTAAACATAGTTTAATTGTATAAGATTGAGAAATGAAATCGAAGAGTTCGGCACAAAAAATGACAGTATTGAAAGGAACCGGATAATTGATCAAGTCTGAACATCAACAACAAGTAATTTTATCATATAAGCCACTTCTATACCACACTTATATGAATTCTTAACAAATTTCAATTTAACTCTTTCATTTAAATAATTTGAACCCATTTTTATAATTATGATTACTCAATAGAACAGGTTGCAAGAAGCTAACGAGATCCATATGAAATAAAATGAAGTCATATTATTCTACTTGTATTTTTACTCTTGCTCTCTTCAAAATGATTAAGGGAACTAAAATCTGACAAGAATGAAAACACAATTTCTCTCCTTATTAATAACCGATATTATCGATCGTTTGCAATATTCATTTATAAGATGAGATTGTTGTCAGTTTTCATGTCGAATATTTGGCGCCAGTTGAATAAAATCGATAAATCGTAGTTGATAATCGTATTGAAAATCAGAATGCGATAGCTGTTTGGTGATTTCAAGTCTAAAGTAGTTCTCTTTCTTGATTGAATATTTTCAAATATGACATAAATGCATTTGATTTATTGGTAGATAAATAAATAGCTTGGGTGGAAACATACTGAATAATAGGTTCTCTCTATAAAGACATGTCAAGCATATAAACTAATCAATGGATAATGATGGGAATGATGTCATCGATTATGTTGAAAAGTGTATATTATTTTAGTTTTTATTTAATCAAATGAATTATTTAGAGCAAAAAATGACATGATTTACCTTGTGAGAACACATTTGCCATGTAAACACGGTTTACTGCATATTCTAGCACCGGTATTCTCATCACATTTCCATAAATCATATAGAGGTGTACAATATACCTCACAACGCTGTCCATAATAATCTTTGGTACAAGTTATCTCAATATGGGCTTCAACTCTAAAACGATAATTCAACAAAATATTTTTTTTTGAAATAAGGGAACAATATAAAACTTTGTAGATGCCCTTCTTTCAGTCTTTTCTATAAAGGTGCTTCCACATGTACATGTGAATTTGTAAGTACATTTGGAGATAACTTTAGAAGGATATTGGTCCACTTGGACTGATTTAAGAAACATCTGATGTCGTATACCAAAAATATTTGAGCTACTGCTAAGCTTCTATTTAGGGCTGTTTTAATCTTTATATGATCCTGCCTAAAATCTCTTCATATTTGAATGCAAAATGGATGAGAACAGATGAAAGATTAATGTAACGTTAAAGAGAAGCTTCCCTGCAGCCCCAATGTTTCCTCTATATAAAATCAGATGTACACCAGATACAAAATAACTTTCTTGATAAAAATGATATCTTTGTAAGATCTATCCTGACGTATATTCAGTGATTTTTGTAATGACAAAAAAAAACCGCATTTTCTCTCTAATTTGTCACACCTTATATGTAACCACATTTTTATTAAATATCTGTTGTTTTTCTGTATCACTGTTTAAAATGATGATAATTGTTTTGATAATGAATATACGATACGAACTGACTACCGCGTTGCTTGAAATATAAAACGCTACCTACGCCGTCTGTTCTTCTGCTTTATTGACCACGGTCTTTAATTGAAGACTATATTATAGTGTTATAACATCCTTTAGGCCTTCCGACGCTACGTTGGACTTTTGTCACGGATTATTATAATATAATACTATCGGACTCTGTCTTTCTCATCACGCCGTTGGTACAATCACTTGCAGAGGAATCTTCGTCAATCAAGTGAACTCCTTTGTGGTTGTTATCTCACGGGGCAGCTTAAAAGTAACATTCATTCCATAATAACTGTTATTATCTGTTTGTTTAATATACCATTTGTATACCAGCTGTATTTTGTTACCCCTGGTTTTTACTCGCAGACAGACACCTAGGTTTTTACTGTAAGTCTCTTGGTATATTATTATTAACCTAGTGTATCGATACATCTTGTATAAGCTCGTTTTGCTGGGAACCACCACAAATCCCAATGAGTAGAAAAATTAGATTTTCAAATTCTTTAACGCTTCACTTCGCTCAATGTATGGTACTTCTTCAGAGAATAAACTTAGAGAAAAAACTCTCTGTTACAAATCATTTAAAATGTAAGAAAAGAGACTTGTATTTTGGATTGATGGTTTTAAGAATTTATGGGAAAAGACAGATAATTTTTATAATTGGTCGCCTTTAATTTATCGAACTGAGATTCTGACCAGCTGAAGACTAATTACATAGCAATCCAAATGGGTAATTTTATAGGTTAAGTAAATATTCTGTAATCTTGATTTCACGGGTTACATCTAGAAACAAGTTATGAGATAGTTGAATGTAGATTATGCTGTCAACCACTGGAAACTAATTGATACCACGCATTGTGTTATATATATTTCAGTTTCTTAGAGATAGGTTAAAAATATTCATCTTGATGAGACCTTGAACATTAAAATATAATACTCAAACATTGTACTAACTGACCATCTACTAATAACCAATATTGTGTTTGTCTACTTCGATGCTGTTGATCGAATTCCATCGAGCGAATTACAATGTAGACTGAGAACAATCTAAGTGGCTTGATATTCTGCGCATTATAACCGAATGTTCTGTGGTTAGAGATCGTTGCTAATGAGTGCAGTAGGTCCTCATATTACAAGGGACATCTATCCCCTACTGACGGCTTCTGTCTGTCATACTTCTTGATTTGATTAAAAAAGACTCTGGACTCCAATCAAATGTTTAAATCATAGATTTTGTGTAAATTCGAGTATCAATTAGATAACACTCACAGGTTTAGATCTTTGACAAGGATAAGATAATCACTTTCTAAGTATTGTTAGTCTTTCATGAATGCAATATTCATATTATCATTCCAATTCCTATAAACCATTTCATTGAATTTGGCACTATTTGGTTCCTACTATTACTATATTGTCTACTATCATCATTGTTTTCTTAACTGTTATGTCCCGATAAGGATAACGAATGGTAACTTTTGAGATCCATTTATGGACAAATACTATACCTATATTTTTATCGTATAATTGTTAAATATCTATGCTATACATATTCATGCCCCTCTTATTATAAGCTTTATTTTGACCTATGAACTATTATTATACGACTTACCATTCTTGAACTATGCCCTGTCTATTAATCACTACCTCTCACATTCACAGCCACATTTGGCCAAATCTTGTACAAATGTTGTTTCCTATTTTATGGTATGGTGTATTCTGTCTGGTTGATATATAAACCCAGTATGCTTGAAATAAATGATTCATATTGCAGAGGTTGAGATTTGTGTTCTGGACTTAACTGGCTGGGCTAGTCTGGAAGCAGGACCAATAAGTACTCTAGACTGCTCTCACGGATTTTATGCGTCACTGGTTCGATCGATAATTCTCTGCTCTCTAATTGGCGGTATCGTTACATTCTACATTAACAGGGCGCAGAGGCCACAAGTTATAACATTAAATAACTTATTAAACCTAGTCTCTAATTACTGTTGGAAGTATGTAGAGAGATTGTTGAATTTCATAGCTTACATCACTGAATGATTTTATTTAGATAAATAAAAAGGACTAGATAACTGTTTCATCCAAGTATGAGACCCCTTAGTAGTGCGTATCCAAGATCTGATAGGAGATCGAATTCACAAACTTCAGATATTGAGATAAGTGCATTCAATGATTTACATTATTAACTTCAATCAGTTCATAATGTTTCTTAATCTACATTATGATCAATCAAATTGGAATATCTTAATAATTTATTCCATATGATTTCATATAGAAAATATCATCATAACAGATGAATATCAATTGTCAAGCTTATTAGGTAAATATGTAATACTTATGGTTCGTTTGATTATACAATACATTACGTTATAAACAAAACGTTTTTTTTTGAATATTGAACTAGTTAGTTTCAATCTAAACAGTGTCAATAATAATGTGAGGTACATTTTGTTTGGTTGATTGATTGATTTAATGAATTTTTAGTGGATCACACACAGATAACCAAAATTACAGGTACGTTAAGCAAGCATGAAAAAGTACCGAAAAGCTAGCAGGCAAGCGAATGAGTATGAATGTGATTTGGTGAGACTTTATCAAGGGTTTAGTTTATATAAAGAAGTTTTTATAAACATGATATTTAATTCACATGGTATTGTTTGGCATGTATCTGCCCATTGAGGTTCAAGACTGCAACTGATCAGTCTGTTATTGGTATATGTGCATACTGCGCGTATGCCTCCATATTGCCTTAATTCACAAGCTTTTGTAAGTAATGATGGATAGTGGCTAGCAGTACCAATACCAAGTGAATTTAAATTCACCACATTGCACAAGCAAGTGGCTATCAGGACTCAGTAGCTGAGTGGATAACGCGATGGCGTCGGAAGCGAATGGTACTGGATTCGAGTCCCAGGTGAACATCAACTCTGAGATGCAGGTACATCCAGCTGACGAGTCCCAGATAGGACGAAACGCGCGTCCTGGATTCCACTGCTAGCCACTATCCATCATTGCTTAAAAAAATGATATCTAGTTGCTTTAAACTGAGGAGTCCTACAGTAGGACAAAACAACCGTCCAGTGCTTCCAGGTTTTCCATGGTGGTCTAGTTTCAATTGATTCATAATATCAATAATTAAAATGGAAGTATTAGAAAATAGATAGATGAACTTTCAATATTTTAAGATGAAACAACATTAATAGTCTAATGAATTTATTATACTAAATTAGGACTTCAATGAGAGATGTTACGTTACATTTTCCTAAATTCCAAAAATAATAAACGAAATCGGATTAGTTTATTTTAGGAATCTGTATATATAATTGATAATATTATTCATTTCTATGAATGCTTTTGTCATATCACGATAAGAATAATGAATGTTAATTTTCGGGATCCATCTGTGGATCAATACTATGCGTAGATTTTTATCGTATAGTTGTTATGTAACTAAACTGTTCATGTTCATGTTGCTCTTATTATAAGCTTTAATTTGACCCATAGACTATTATTATACGATTTACCATTCTTGAGTTATGGCCTGTCTATTAATTATTATCTCCATCATTCACAGCCACATTTGGCTAATTCTTTTATAAATGTTGTTTCATATTTTATTGGTACGTTGAGGTCTGTTTGATTGATATATTGACTCAGTATGTTTGAATTAAAATGATTCATATTGCAGAGGTTGAGATTGGTGTTCTGAACTTAGCTGGCTGGGCTAGGCGGACAGCAGGGCTAATTAGGAATCTAGGTTGCTCGCACGTGTTTTAGGCGTCACTGGTTCGATTGATAAACCACTACTCTCTGAATGGCGGTGTCGTTGCGTTATACAATAAACAAGGCACACAGGTTAACAGCTTTCACATGTATTTCCGTTAAAGATATTCATTGGGTAATAATCTATTACTTACTGTGTTGATGATAAGCTCCTATTTAGCTATGTATAAAGTATAATATTATGATATTATCATGTATCAGGTGTTTAAAGTAAAGCTTGCTCCTATCATGTACACATTAGACAGAACTCCCTAAAGTTATTGTGTATTTTTATAACCAAGATTCCTCTCTTCATGAATCGACGTAACTGTCTAATCAGTAAGTGTTATTAATACACAAATGAATGAAACTGATGTCATTTATAGCAGCTCACATGCAACTGAGTTTGCTCACATTTAATGTGGTTAAGCCCTTTTGTTAACTTATTTAACGGACAGTCATCAGCACAATAACAACTCCTATATCATTGTACCTTTATTATTGTTACACTTGTATGAATATGTATGCTTGAGGATTGCATACTGACTACGCATATATTCATTCTGCTAGCCTTACTATAAGTTGTTTAATTGATTCAATGATTCATTCATTTCCCTATGTATATATGTGTACATTTTAATCCTGTTCATTCACTCGCTGACTCACTGACTCGCTCGTTTGACTCACGCTCACTCTCTTGCCTGCTAGCTTTTCGGCACTTTTTCATGCTTGCTTAACGTACCTGTAATTTTGCTTATCTGTGCGTGGTACAGTAATAAACGCAATCAACTCTTCAATTTTGCCTTCCGATTAATACACCGTTGAAGCATTATCTAGTGATGGTTATCAGGACGAACTGTATATGAAGTTTAAGGATTATATTGAATATCGACCACCACACACTACCCAAGGAAAATTAAGTTGTCACTAGCCTTTTCTTCTCATATCTAGTAAAACTTTATCACGTCCGGTACTGTCAAAAGACGACCATAAAACAGTGTACATGTACGTGCCAGAGCACAGAGGATTTGTGTCTGCATCGTTGAAATATTTCACAATACATCATAAAGCATATTAAACATGGTAGATACCTCTAAAACAAGTGCTTAATCGAGTAATAATGGTCTTTCGGTTTGTGGACAATTATAACTAGTATGTGAATCTCTTGTAGACATAGACTTGTTTTCCAAAGATTAAATGAAAACTCAAATATTTACTTTAAATCGAATCGACACAAAACTAAAAACTAAATAAAGCCCCATACTTACTTGACATCGACACCCATCCGAAATTCATGTTTTCCTTTAGTTTCAAGTGGAACTGTTCTTCTAAATAGAGCTATCCGTTGATCTTCATCTATATCACTATCATGAATATCAAGTTCAATTTCTATGGCATCCTAATACACAGTTGAAAGTGAAAAGACAGATTTAAGTACTATATTTCATGAAACGAACTTTAATGAAGTGTCCTTTTTTTTGAAAGGGAGGAACTTTGAAGAGATTTCAACTATGATCATGTTTTTGGAAAATTTTTTTAAATAAAATTAGTTCAGTATTATATACTGGTTTATATGACTTCGTTGATCGAAGATAAGTTCCACACTAAGATATTTCTGTAGTCTGTCAATCAACCGTCGTACAATTATGGTGTCGTAAATAGGTATTTTACTTAAAAAAAACACTGATCACACATTAATCAAGCTTGTATTCTTTCCGAAAATTACTATTTCTTGGTGAAAAACATTTGCACACATTAGTATTACTACAGTGTGTAGATAATATCAATCATATCATTAAAATTTTTTCGGGAGTAAAAAATAAAAAAGACACTTCCTGGGTCAATCAGCCTAAATTGTAAAGTATTTATTGACTGGCTTCAAGAGGTATTTACTGGAGTTCCAGTGAGAAGCAGTGACCAGTGGAGTTCAATTAGATCTGTTGTGAGATAATAACTCACTAAAGAAAATGGTGCACGATGGCGCAATTTCGTGGATTGGTTGAAGTTAGAAATTAACACCGTTGGATGACAGCTCAGTGATCTAGAGGTTAAACGTTCTCGCGCGAGACCGATAGATCCTGGGTTCGAATCCGGAGAGCGGGATCGCAGATGCGCACTGTTGAGGAGTTCGGTACTAGAACGAAATGGCCATCCAGTGCTTCCAGGTTTCCCATGTTGGTCTAGCTTTAACTGATTCATAATCTCAACTATTGAAATTATTACAATCTCCAAAAAACCCCTTCTGATACTGATCAATTATCTGTCAATTTTGATTGTAAAATAACAAGATCGTAAAAACTATTTTTGTGATTAAAGTTTCTATCCTCTTCAAATAACGAATGAACAATCATATGATTAAAGCCATCAGAAAAAGAACAAATGAAAGATTATTATTTATTTAATAATCCACTTAGAAACAAGTAACCACTTCTAATGTGATTTGTAAATCAAATAAACAGCTGTTATATTTGGTGTGGTTAAAAATGAAAAAAAAAAGAAATCATCTAATAGTAACAGACAATATCACATGTAACTATGCCCTTAAAATTGATGGTTGATATTTGGTCTAATGAAGTGTATATCCTCGTAGGAAAAAATATTAATCATAAGCCATATCACACTACCAATTGAACAATTGAACAATGTGATATAATAAGAAATAGGCTTTAAAGTAATGATGGATAGTGGCTAGCAGTGGAATCCAGGACGCGCGTTTCGTCCTATTTGCGACTCATCATTGCTTACAAATAGCTTGTGAATTAAGGTAATATCGAGGCATACACACAGTATGCACATATGCCAATAACAGACTGATCAATTACAGTCTTAAACCTCGATGGGAAGATACAAGCCAAACAATACCAAGTGAATAGACTGTAAAGCTTGAATTAATTTTTAATGCGAAATATTATCAGAATAAACTTTTAAAAGTACTAATTCATATATACTGATTCAAACCAAAAACATGGCATCAATTGTTGAAATCATTAACTTCTGGTCTGAGTCATGTTAGTAGATACAGACTACTTTGTTGAGGTTCGCACAACTATTGTAACTGATGATTGGAAACTCTGGGTCAATCACAATGGCATCGATGTATACACTCTTTGTCTTCCTTTAAACTGTGAGATTAAAATTACTTTATGTCTTACTTTTTACCCAACTAATTCTTTTTTGCTTTATAAGTGTCCTTATATACAATCATTTCTTATACGATTAAAGTAATCGTTTCTATTGATTTGGTGCTCATTTTGTTCTTCTAATAAGGTAGGGCAATTTGAACCGATGCATATATGTGCCTGATCCTACACTGTACATGACTGACTGACATACAGAAACATATGTATATTGATTGTTTGGATATTCCCACTGACATTTAGGACTGTGGGTGATCATTCACTTTTAGGATATCTATATCCTATGCAAATTACCTTGATATTGACAGTAATTCACAATCATTTTAAGCAGAGTTCTCGAGTCCCGGCATGAAAATCATTTCTGGGATGCAGGTACATACAAATAACGGGTCCCGAACTGTATGAAGTGCTTCCTGGATTCCACTATTATCCACTATCCATCTTTGCTTAAAATACTGTTAGGGTTTATTCATAAGTGGTTAATGGTAAAAGTATATTGAATGGAGAACTAGTAAATCAAAATCATGGACGCAACTATCACGTTTTTATGCAAAATTTAATTTTCTCTTATAACAAGCATTGGATATAATATTTCCACAGCGAACAGAATCTTTAAAATGGCTATGATTAATTGCTTTCTGCTACCATAATGTGAAAATTACAGTGGTGAGCTTAACGAGTGGGTGATTGTTTCTTTGTAGGTTGTATAGAATATCATGTTTTGAACGGAAATAATTTTTTAAGGGTGTGAAATTTATTTTTAATACCCCTCCCCCTCATAATTCACTTGTATTCTTCTCCCAACAACCAAAAGCGTAATTATAACGGGACCCACAAAAGTAGTGGATCTGGTTTAGAATTATCAGTTTTAGTAAGTGTTGTTGTCTGCCATGTTTATTTCCAGTAATGAAGCTGATATGATTTTCAGAGAGATATTTGTTGGTCTAGGATTTTCGATGGAAGCAAACCTCTTGAAACAACTAGAGACTTGTAAGAATATATCTTTCTCCTATTTCATAGTATAAAGACAATCATCAAAATCCAAATGACTTTTACAAATAATAATGTATGCGAAATTTAGAGTCGACTTTAGAGACCGACAACTTAAGCGACAAGAAGGTCTGTTTCATAATAAATTCTTTATCTAGTGGTATAGACAGACTATCCCAGGGCAGGGTGGATGGAGAATGCTGGTGAGCGGCCTATGCTCCTTCACGATGAGTAACAGGCGTAAGTAAGTAAGTAATAGACAGACTACGTCTAGCGGCTATGAATCCTAAATATTTGTTCGGCTGATAGGAAGCTTTTACACTGTATCTAGATAGTTTGTGAGCCATAAATCATAGTTTCTACGTCTCACTTATGAGAAAGACCTCCTCTTTTGTTATTCGACAGCATGTAAGAAGAATAAAATTTGCTCCGTATTAGTGTCCAGAACTGCAGCTCTTGTTGTTTCCGATTTAAATATGAAAATAACAGGAAGAAAACAGTCATCAAGATGTGTTTCGATATGCAAAGACGTTTGTTCTAGCCTTGATAATGATCTTCATTTTTAGTAGGTAGTTTTGAGATGTTAACTGTAAATATTATTAATCTTGGAAGTGTAGCTAAGACTCACAATGAGGTAAACGGTTTCATAGAATGTCATTTTCTTCCTACAATTGATCAAAAAATTCTTTGCATAACTGTGCGTATGCAAAAGTTATTGTTTGATTGGCTAGGAACAGGCTGAAATTTTATCGCACTTGTTTTAAGATTATCCTTATCCTATCAGTTCGTCTAGTAGATGTAAGCTGTAAATGATATTTCATGATAACGTCGTTGTAATTGATTGTAGATTTCTTTTGATTGCCTTTTTACATTCTGACTTGTTAACTGACTGTCATTCATCACAGTTCATATTAAAATAATTCCATATGTTTACTCATTGGTGAATGACCTGTGTTCTAAATCTTTAAAAATTCCATGGTTTACTGATTTTGTCAATATTCACGACTTCGACATTTTTACAGTCAGATTTTAGTTTTAAGGAGATTGAGGGTAATTAGTAGAATACCTTGAATACAGGTTCTTATATAATTGCTAATCATCAATAAGATGTATCTGAAATATTTAGTAAAACAATGCACCACATGGAGTTTGGAGCTTTGTCATCCAGTTATAGCCAACATGGTGTCACCAATCTATTTTACACAGCAGTAACCCCCCTTCAGACTGATCAGTTACTAGAAACTAAAATGGTTCAATCCTGAAACTTTGTTTGTTTTTCTCGACATTTATAGATATAAATTTGACTGAATCACTGTCACTGTATTTGCTATTTAGTAATCCTCCAGTTTTATATATCGATTTATGGTACCACTACGACTCTAAGCGATTTAGCATAGCAATAAACTTTGCTGTTACACAGTTGAAGTAATTGGTTTGGAACACATAATCTGAAGTTCTTGATAATTAAAACTAGTTACTTGCGGTGTGAACAAATTTTTTGAAAGTGACTCCACTTAACACAGGATCCAGTCACACTTCTATAATTTGTTTCTTCAAGATTACAGATACACGTTGTTGGAAATTTCTAACTAACATGGATTACAAGCTCAGGACTTCCTATCAATTACCTTCAACAACAATCCGTCAAATGAATCCCAGAGTGATGTCTAGTTAATCAAACAAGTGGCCTCAGTGCATCTTGACCAATACAATCCAATTACTACTACGGATTAAAAATAAGTAATATTGATCTTGTCAAATTCATATCTTCAGGTCACTGAAATTAAGTGCATATTCGTAATTAACCTCATCATCTCAGAGAATACGAAAAAATCAGTATAAAATTATTGAATCATCCATACATTCACTATTTCCAGTTTTGGCTACTAATTTATCTAAGATTTATGTATTTATTGATAATTATTGTCGATTACTCTTAGAAATAGATATAAGTCCACCATGAAGGTCGTAGGTTCAAACCCACGTGTTGTAATAAAAGTATAATGTTATAGATCCTTGAAGTAAAACGAAAAATCAGTTCACTATTCTCTAGTTTTCAGTCCATGATAAACATTAACTTTACAATACATAAACTGACATCTACAGAACTAACTCAATATTCCTAAGCAATTTGCTTTTTTAAAAATATTCTGATTTTAATGCTTACCGGAAATATTGGCTGTATTTCATATGTGTCGAGAATGTGATCGATATACTTTGAGTTTACAAATGGTCCAGCTTCTTTACGCAACGTTGAACGTTTTTCCCATCTAGTAGATCAAATGAATATATATGAGAAAAACAGTTGACATGTGTATGCAAGCCATTGAAATAAAGTCGAAATCATTTCTGTAAGATAGTTTAATATCACACACTTAATACTGTGCTTTTTATTTTGTTGAATGATATGTATTAGGTAGTACTTATAATTTTTATTAGTTAAGCAGCAACATTAATAGTTGAGATCATGAGTCAAATGAAACTAGACCATCATGGGAAACCTGGAATCACTGGATGTCCGTTTCGTCCCAGTACGGGACTCCCCATCAGTGAGCAACCACGATCTCGCCTCGCGAGATTCGAACCCAGGATTTTCGGTCTCATGAGTGAACGCTTATCCTATAAACCACTGAGCTAGCATGTCTAACTTCAATTGACCCACGAAATTGAGCGACACATCCACCATTGTCTTCAGTGAGTTACTATCTCACAACAGACCCAGTTGAACTCCACTGTAAGCAGTAATAATTTAATGTGAACTTTTGTAATCTCTTATTACCAAATAATAAGTGTATGTTAATATGCAATCATGAGAAGATAAGAGAAAAACAACACCTATTATCTACAACGATTAAGTTTAAGTTTAATGTTAGAGCATTTGGAATCAAGAAAAAGTCTTCAAGTTCTTGCCTGAAATATTAAATCCGGATGTTGAGTATCATCAAAAGTATGATTAATTTTGATAATGAAACATCATTAAATATTTATAAGGCATTAAGAATACTGAGAAAAATACTAACTTTGGAATGACAGAATGAAATGATAGTTAATAAGATTAATGAAATATAAAAGGGAGTGATATTTTGTTTTAATCTTTGTTAAGGTTGAGATTAGGGTTGATTTGAAGTTAGGTTTAGAATTAGAGTAATAAAACATAGGTAAGAACTTTCGTCTAAATTTGAACGAATAGTTTCACAATATTTGGGCGCCGAGTTAATGTGAGTCATTAAACAGGAAGAATGTATTTGTAAAATCTTAGCGAAAGAATTTGAAGTAAATCCAACATTTCGCCTGGCAAACTGGTCCAAGCTTTTTCAAGGGAAATATAATCAAACAACAAAATTATCGAATATAAATAGGTCCATGGTTCTCTGGTTTACTGTATACTAATTAAGTCATCCAATCAACGTCAACAATGTTTAAAGTAGGTATTTACATCAATGTGTACGAGACATGTGGTATGAAAAGAAGTGTTAAGATAATAGATTGTGTGTATACGTAAGTGATGTGAGAAGAAATTTCATTCAACTATATATTGTCTTCGGTTCAGAGTTCGGTTTGAGATTATGTGTAGGATTAGGAATTGCGATAGACAAATTAACCATAAATCATAACTACTAAAACCCTAATATCAAATTAGGTAAGCTCATTAATCATATGAAAACAATATGTTCTTTGTAAAATCTTTGGTCGTTTTCAAATTAGAATTCATATCTACTGTTTTCTGACACTTGCATTTTATCTAGATTCGTTCAGAAGTTGCTCGTGTTCATTATTACAATTATGCTTTATCTTCCTGAGTTTTACCTAACATGGAGCTATGAAACGAACAGTTAAGAAACCACAAACTAAGATGAGAGAACACTTTTCTACTTCTTTATTTTCAGTGAATTTTCTTAATTTTTATTTCAGTCAGTTCTTCACAAAATCGGTAAACTTAATTATGCACAGAGCAGAATACATATATGGTAAGCATTCTGTCTTATTGAAATGGTCAGTCGTGTCATTTAAATATAACATAATTCATGTATATTTATTGTTTGAATCATCCCATTGATGTTTAAGATTGGGATTGGTCAGTCTCTTTTAGGATACGTGCATCCTGTGCAGATTACCTCGATACTAACAGTAATTCACAATCATTTTAAGCAGAGATGGATTGGTGGCTAGCAGTGGAATTCAGGAAGCGCGTTTTGTCCTATCCGAGACCCATCAGTTGGATGTGCCTCCATTCAATTTAATGGCCTTTTTTCATGAAACATTTTTTGATAGAAAAAATGAGACAGATTTATTTGAAATGAAACAAAATTGAAAAAATGAATGTTTAGTATGGTGATAAAAATGAATCCAAAACACTGGTCAGTAGAATGTGCATAATTAGGCTTAAGATAATCATTATTAGCAGTTGAACTATACATTCGATAGAAGTAACAGAGATTTTTAGGACGGCTCACAGTAAGCACGATGAAGCCTCCAGAGGCTCTTAAAGAGCCGAAAAGATTTCATCTAATCATAGTCCTGTAGAATTTCTAGAATATCTACATTGGATGCTGTGACTGGACAATTGTATAAACTTTCTGTATGCAGATTGTCTGGATTATAGTGATGTTAAAGCCTATATCCTAAACCATAAATACATCTATTTTTCTGTAAATTTTGTACATAGTACAGTATATATTCCTCCTGTTTACTTCTGCCTTTTGATTTGGGACTTAGGGGATGGGCTTCTACAAGCTTAAATCCCGAGGTCATGTATCATATTAGCCGTAACCAAGTACCAAACGTAATAAAAATGAAGATAATACATTTAATCAGTCATTTTGTTATCCACTGCTCGTGAAGAAGTTCCTAATGATTTATAAGCTTAACAGGAACTATTAATGAAGATTATACTTCAACTTAATCGCAATGTCACTACAGTTTAAAATAATCATTTAAAGTGTATTTATTCATCCGTGCAGTGTTAGGATTTATAGCTGGTAATAAAACTGAAAATTTGTGTTTTTCCGTTACTGAAGTTTATCAACACAATGTTCCTATTAAAAGAACACTCTAGGTTATAAGTGTGTGGTATGAATTACTGATACCAAAATAACAGTTACAGTCATATACCATCAAAATCATCCACCTGAGCTACGAATCTTCTCCACCATCTCACCATCAGAGTAATTCAGCAGGCATAATTAAAGCAGATATGATCTCAAATTTGGTTTCATAAATTCAATGGAATTTATATTCTCATACTGTGCATCAATGCATCGTAGTATCAGTCTAAATGAGTAGTTGGTGCCCAGCCCATTGTATGAATCCGGTATCACTGAATGATATTTCATACTAAGTGAAATATATGTCTTATATACTTCGTACATATTTTGCCGACTTATACCGTTAATAGGAATGTAAATATAAGAGGTGGAACACGAAAGTGTTTAAGGAACGTACATTTCAAATATCTGTTGATGAAATGAAAGATAAGAGTTGCAAAGAAATGCATCTGAACTGGAGTAGTAGAAATAGCTAACTCAGTGAATCTTTAAGGTTTGAACGTTAGAATAATATTCACTAATATACATTGTATGCTCCACAATTTCAGAGATTGGATTGAGGCATTTTGACGTGAAAAATCAAAGTATCCTACAATATCCAAATGTCGAGGGAATTAGTATGATCTACTTCATATACTGAAAATCTTCATTGAGCATAAGTATCGAAATTCAGTTTACTTTTGTGCCTTTTTTTCACGGTCAACAAATAAGCATAGAGTTCTGGAACTTTTATTGCGTCAGGAGTGATAATCACCTGTAGACTGTCGATTTACAATAATAAAGAACTGAAGTCCTATTCATTAGCTAGAATCTTCAGTCTTGATCATCCGATAGAATACAACCAATTATTAACTATTCAAGCTCACTATAAATCAAATCAAATATTCCTTTCTTCATCTCACAGTCACTTCAAGGTATTACTGAGCAAGTAAACTAACAGACATTTAACATAAAATCACACATGAAACTAAGAATAGAACAAGTGAGAAAAAAACTGACAATTTTAACTGCTCTAAAGCTAGTCATATGAAAAATTTACTGACAAACATATTCAATTGTATAACAACACACAACCGAATCATTGAGTTTTACATTGTATTACCCAAAAAGTGATTTAACTTATTAATTATCGATTATGTGGGTACTATGAAAATTTTACATACCAATCGATCTCTATTGATTGATAATTAAGGTTATTTATCTAAGTTTAAAACCTAATATCCAGTTACTATGTAACGCATGTTATTAGTGAAAGTTGAAGATGTGAACCATTGGATCACATATAATGACAATCGATGGACAGTTTCCTCAAGATCATGGATCGATTGAAGTTAGACATTAACGCCCTTGGATGTCTACTCACTGGTCTAGAAGTTAAGCGTTCGCATGCAGGATCAAAGGTCCAAGGTCCGAGTCTCGCATGCGGGGTCATGGATGCGCACTGCTGAGAAGTCCCATATTAGGACGAAACGGCCACCCAGTGCTTCCAGATTTCCAATGGTGATCTAGGTTTAATCGATTCATAAATCTAACCACTAAAATTACTGCAATCTCCACAAACCCCCATTCTGATATTAATGAATTTGACAATGTTATGTGTTAAAAATGGTGTACTTTTAGATCTATTACGACATGAATACTTTATAATTGTTATTTGTAAATCAGAAAGGTCGTTTAATAAACGACAGAATAATCCGTGGTAAACGGTCAAGTTAAAATCAGTATAATAGTAATATAATGAAAAATCATGTGAATAAAATGCATAGTAGGAGAATTTCATCTTGTTAATCGAGGTAATAATGAAAATAATAGTGATGATAACCACAGTGATAATAATAATAATAGTAATAATGGCAATAATAACGTGTGAATATACTATGCAACAAGTTAGGCGTTGTCATGATAATTACGACAAAAAAAGAAGTCATGTAATTTGAGAGAGATGAATGTGTAGATAAAGAAAGTTACAAACACAAAATGAATTGGAAGAAAGATAAGGGTTTATAATGTTCAGTTTACGTATCTGGTGATCCAGTCGTGGACCAGGATAAACATAGAGACTGAATATACCTCTTCTGGATACATAAATCCGGTTTTTACTGAAGTTGATATATATAGCTTCAGCTATATAGAGTGACCGTAATCTAGTTCCTTTAGGTAGATTGTTTGTTTTTTACTTACTTACTTACGCCTGTTACTCCTAATGGAGCATAGGCCGCACACCAGCATTCTCCAACCCACTCTGTCCTGGGCCCCCTTTCCTAGTTCCATCCAATTCTTGTTCATTTTTCTCATGTCTATTTCCATTTCCCGGCGTAATGTGTTCTTTGGTCTTCCTCTCCTCCTTTGACCCTGAGGATCCCATGTGAGGGCTTGTCTTGTGACGCAGTTGGGTGCTTTCCTCAATGTGTGTCCTATCCACTTCCACCGCTTCTTCCTAATTTCTTCCTCCGTTGGGATCTAGTTTGTTCTCTCCCATAGTAGGTTGTTGTTAATAGTGTCCGGCCAACGGATCCGAAGTATTTTGCGTAGACAACTGTTAATAAACACCTGTATTTTCTGGATGATGGCTTTCGTAGTTCTCCAGGTTTCCGCTCCATACAGTAGAACTAACTTGACATTTGTATTGAAAATCCTGACGTCGGTGTTGGTGCTTTGAGTTCCAGATGTTCTTCAGTTGTAAATGTGCTGCTCTTGCTTTGCCGATCCGCGCTTTCATATCTGCAACGCTAACCAGATTTTATGTAACTTGATATAAAACAGAGAAGTCTTTGTGTCTATATCTTTCTTAATCTACATATATATCTTTCTCAATTCACATCGTTTGTTAATTACAGTCGAACATGAGTTGTATAATACCACTTCATACATAGATGATTATGAATTCAAATGAAATTTATATTCTGTTAACTTGAAATATCTTCGAAGAAATAAGGGTGTTCTTAGCAATTTCTTACTTAATAAGGAATCATTCAACTCACTTTTCAGTTGTTGTATAAGCAGCAAAATGAAAAAATGGATCACAATGATCACCAAAAACATTTAATGCTTCACATTTTCTTAATCTGCTATCCAAATTATAAGGATTTTGATAATTTCTTATTACATAACTTATATTCACATCAGCCTAAATTAAAAAGAAATGAAAATGTATAATTCTTGATAAAATTACTATGCTTAAACGGAAAAAAATAATTGATAAGTATACATAAATCTGAGTTTAGATAATCTATAAACATAACGAAAAGATCCACTTGGTATTGATGAAGTTTTATTCTCTAAGCTGGATGACCCGGTCGTGGAACTTTCATCATTCTTCTGAACGACATCATCAGCACAAACATCAAGTAGAAGTGAAGTGTCTGAGTTTCTTCACATGTGGTTCATAGCTTGTCCTGTAAACCTCGATGTTGGTTGGTTCTTGTTGACTTTAAACCTGTCATTGTTTACTTCTTTGTTTTGGTTGTATCACCCATTGGTTTGATTTTTGTTCCTATGTTTGTGCATAATTTTCCTGATTGGTCAAACAATCAGGAGAACGATGAAAGCTCCACGACCAAACCATCCAGCTCAGAGAACAAAACTCCATCAAAATCATCCACCTGTGCTATAAATCTTTTCCACCATTCACTTGGTTTTGTTTTACTTGAATCTTACCATTGATGTTTAGGACTGCAATTGATCAGTCTCTTATTGGCACATGTGCGTACTGTGCTTACTGCCTCGATATTGCCTTGATTAACAAGCGTTATAAACAAAGTGGTCAATGTGATAGCGTTTGAAGCAAACGGTAATAAGTTCGAGTCCTAGAGTGAACATTAACTCTAATGTGCAGGTACATCCAGCTGACGAGTTTCAAATAGGATGGAACGCGTGTCCTGCCTCTATCCATTTTGGCTTATAACGAAAATATGATATTTTGAGTAGAGTTTAGTATTGAAATCCACTTGATCAATCAATTATATTCAGAGTAGAACCTGTTGTATATGTGAGTCCGTTTAAGTTGTCACATTATACAAGCAAGATGAGTCGGGAATTAGAGTAGGAAAATAGAATACAAACGTCACATTTAAATTATAGTAATTGTAGAGTAAAAAGTAATTTGACAGTAACTAATAAATTAAATGGAAACCTATGATTCAACAAATAAAACAGGGAGGACAAACTAAATGTTAGTACTTTACAGACTTTGAATTAAGCTAAAAAAGGTTTCCCAAAAGTAGTTTCCTCTGTTTGTCATCGCTTCATTTTTTCTCTCCATATTTCAACTTCCCTAGCTTCCTTCCAATCTGCTCTGGCATCAGAAAACACTTCTCATCGAAGTAGATGATTGTTGAGAATCCGTAACGTATGTCCTAACCGCTTCGGTAGATGGAAATAGAATTCAGGACTCATATTTTATCCTATTCCGTACTTGTCTACACACATCGTAGTGTTGATATTTATTATTAATAGATCATCATCTAAACGTCATAGTTTGAGACATTTAACCAGATTTGCTTTGTACTGAAGAGGTTTTAAGCTATATAATGTCAAATTTAATATTTTTTCGAAATATATTCATTCTAATGAAACCATTCAACTCTTTGAAGAGAACAATATTTATAAGTACTATGTTACTACTATTTACCGTCTGAAATATAAAATTAATCAAGGAATATCTATCATTAAATGTATTAAAAATTTATCTTCAACTGACTGTTTTCTAACTTAGATCCGTTTTTGATCTCAATAACATTCAACAATCTCCACATTTCCGTACAAATGAAAATTGATTGGAATTGAAAATTCGAACTACAACAGGTTAGCTACCTGCGTGTAAGGCTATTCAATTGTCCTTGATTTTCAATCTCATTTTCTTATGGTTTAGAAGGGATTTAATTATATCTTGTTATTCTATGTTTCACAGATTGAAATCATGAGTCAATTGAAGCTAGACCACCATGGAAAACCTGGAAACACTGGACGGTCGTTTCGCCCTAGTATGGGACTCCTCAGCAGTGCGCATCCACGACCCCGCACCCCGCGAAGTTCGAACCCGGGACCTATCAGTCTCGCGCCAGGCGCCTAACCAACTAGACCACTGAGCCGGCACCCAGTGGTCTTAATGTCTAACTTCAACCAATCCACACATTTGTGCCACCGTACACCATTGTCTTCATTGAGCTGATATCTCACAACAGACCTGGTTGTAGTTTTTTTCCCTTCTATAACTTTAGTGTTTGGTCCATTTTCTTTATTGTGTTCCGTTCATTTATTGCTACTTCATTGATAATTAGAAAATATTGATTAAGATCATGAACCGATCGATGTTAGACCACCATTGAAAACCTGGAAGCACTGGACGACCGTTTCGTCCTATCGTAGGACTCCTCAGCAGCGCGCATCCACGATACCGCTCGCAGGACTCGAACACAGGGCATTCAGTTTCGCGCGTGATCGCCTAACCTCTAAAACCACTGAGACGGCATCCAACGGTGTTATACTGATAATTAGAAAATCTTTAAGATAAATCAATAAACACAGGACACTTATCTAGTCAGTGATTTTTTTGGTTTTTCTATATTCTGTCACATAACAATTTGATCGAAAAACCTATTTATTTGAACAAATCATATTGGTAAGATAAACAACTTTCTAAAATTTGTTTATCCTGATTTCAATCAAATTAAACTTATTCCATACGATTAAATTTACAATATTATTCCATTGAATATCTAGTCACACTGAGATACAAGACAGATAAAATGGTTAATACATGAGTTATATAAATACTGGACATACATATATGTATATATTTCGGTTTCAAAGTTAAATAAAACAAATTTTTCAAGCCTAATTCAACCATTTATAATCAATAGGGGCTTTGTGGATATTATAGTAATGTTTATAGTTTGAATCTCGCAAGGCAGGATTGTGGATGTGCACTGCTAAGGAGTCCCACAATGGGACGAAACAGCCGTACAGTGTTTCAAGGTTTTCTATGATGGTCTAGCTACAATTTATAGCCAGTAAAATGATAGTGAATATGTATTATTATTTCAAGTGTCAACATTTAGTGGTGAATTGAAGTCCATTTGAATTTTAATCCAAAACGTTTAGTTCTAACGTGTTTTTGTTTTTGACATAAAAGTGATAATTTATGAGAAGCGACGTGTTTCAGTGTTGAATAAAGTCTATTGACGCACTATAATGTGAGTGAGGTTTACTAATATCTAGTAATCTCTATGAGTTTCCAGTGGAACCAATATAATCATTAAGAGATAACAATTTTGGAAAAAAAAACTGTTGTTCAGTATTAATGAAATTTAGATTTTATATCTCATTCTATTTGGAATTTGGCAACCGAATGCACCTTGATCTTGTTGTAAATGATTATACTGAATATCAAACCAGGAAATTTTCGCTTCAAAACATCAGGCAATATTTATTACGTAACTGAGTTACTCCAGTGAGTAACCCATTGAAAAAGTAATATATTGATTGTGATTACTAACTAATCGCAGTACTAATATTAACAGTAGTCATTACCATAGTAATATGTGTATTTTTCCGTCGTTTATACCCAGCAGTTGGATTTATCAGTGTCTGTTAGAATATGGCAACTTCTGGGAAATTTTATCGATATTACCTATGTCAACAAGACTTTAATTCTTTCGAATTTTGACTAAAAGCGGGTTTAGTGAAGCATAGTCTTTCTATTCTGTACTTATTTCAACCAACACCGAGTAATCTATTCAGGAAGCTTATATAGCAGAAGAGACCAATCAAACTGAGTTCAGCATATCTACAATAGTGTAATAGAAATCTTTCCTTACTTATAACAATAAGTGTTATTTAGTTTATGTAACTGCATAGTATGTCAATAGTTGAGATCATGAGTCAATTGAAGCTAGACCATCATGGAAAACCTAAAAGCACAAGATGGACGTTTCGTTCTAGTGTGGAACTCTTCAACAGTACGCATACACGATCCTGCCTTGCGAGATTCGAACCTCGGTCTCGTGCGCGAACGCTTAAACTCTTAGCCACTGAGCCGGCATTCAGGATCAAAGATCCTTGGCTCGAATTCTGAGAGCGGGATCGTGAAAGTGCACTGATGAAGAGTCTTACACTAGGACGAAACGGCTGTCTAGTGCTTTCAGATTTTCCAACGTGGTCTAGACTTAATCGATCCATGAATTCAACTATTAAATTACTACAATCTCCACAAAATCCCTTTCTGAGAATCCAAATTTATTCATTTGAATATAACTGAGAAGAAGGAAGCAATCAATTACAACGCAATTGGTTGTATTTTTCAGTTGTCATGCTTGCTTGGTTTAAAATCTATTTTTTGATTTCAAGTTTTGTTTGGATTAAGATAAAATAAATTTTGAACCATGAAATTATTTTTAAATGTTTGGAACCCCAAATAATTTTTGTCAAAGTGTGATGTTTGTATGAACTAATGATTCATTTGTACTTGATGGCCAGCTTGATCTCGAATTCTAAATACAATACGTTCGTTTGTGTTCACCTAGTTCTATTTGACCTAGAGTGTACTGTTTCGGGATTTCCTAGTCAATACAGTAATTTGAATAGTTCCATTTATCATACAAAGTTGACAAAAGTATTTATGAGAAAGATGAAAATAAAAGTTAGACAATCATCATTAACAGACCAATTATTCAATATACAACTGCTTAGTTTCTTTCCAGCGATTTCATTGAATTAAAAATACCAATAATAACGAAATAAAATAAATCCATTTATTTCAGTTCCCGATTGTTGCTGCTGCCTTGATGTGATGGTTGGGCTTGCCTACCGTAATGAACCAATCGAGCTATATTGGCTGGAACAATCGTTACTCAAGGTAATACTATGACAAACAGGTCGGTTGAAGAGCGGTAAAACTAAAAACAGCAACCTCAAAGTCCGAAGTCGTACTGCTGACTGTACAGAGATGTGATGACATTAAGGTGTTTCTTCCAGAAAACCAGCATAACGGCGATGCTGCCTTCCCACAAGGAGGCGTGGGGATAAAAAGCTCGACCCTAAAAGTGCACACCTCACCTTATCCCACGGATTTCCATCTCCGGCAGTAAGGTTCCAATCAGATTGTATGAATGTGGCGATATTGAGTTA